ACATGATTGTCAATAGTCTGATGGATGTGCTGAAAATCTTTCGCCCAAGTGCATGTACGTGTTGAAACCCTGCACTTTGAAAACGCTGTTGTTGTTCGTTCACCGTCGTACGTGGTGTTTTTTTTTTTTTTTTTTTTTTTCCCCTCCTTTTCCTTTTTTCTTTTTCTTTTTCTGAAGAGTAAGCTCCTATGTAGTCAAGTTTTCTGTTTTCTTTTCCTTGCGCAATGAATGAACCGTGTCGCAGCAGATTGCCAAGCAACGGTCTAACGGACTCTAACCTTATGCCTTTGTTGATTGCCCTTGCGTTAAACGCTGAATCACTGAATAGTTGACCATGGTCTATCTTTATGCCTTTGTTGACTGCCCTTGGGTTAAAACTTAAACGGCAAATCACTGAATCGTTGACGACGACTGATATAGCATAGCAAGGGCGTACGGAGAAGTTCATGTCATTGAACCCCTTGCATACCTGAGGAGGGGCCTTCAGACTGCAAACTGCCAATGCAAGTTCGAACCCTTGTCTTCTGTCGTTTTCCCCTCTCTGTCTGCCACTGACACATTTTCCTCTTGCATTTTCCTTTTCATTCTGCTTTCCGCTCTCTGGATTTTTGTTTGTTAAACTTTGTTTTCGATAGATGGCATCTCATGGGGCAATGGGTCTTGCTGCTTCTTTGCGTTTCTTGATTGCCGTCGAATCGCTTCGATCGATTGATTCTTGATTGCTGTCGAATCTCTTCGATCAATTAATTCTTGATTGCGGTCGAATCGCTTCGATCGATTGATTCTTGATTGCTGTCGAATCGCTTCTAACGATTGATATGCAATGGCTGCTGGCGTGCCATAGGAATGTGGAGCAGATTGCAGGCATCAAACTGGGGAAGTGCTCGTTGTGGTCGATACAGTTGGGGTGGTGGTTGGAGCTGCTGGGGTTTCTAGTGCGGTGCGTCTCGGCAGTTCTCTGGTGGAAGATATGGACGATCGGCTCGCAGAACGAGGAAGCTTCGTACAGCCCTGTCGGCTTCGATCAACGGCTGATGACGTCATCAGAGGACAGCTCGCGTAACATCAGTGGCGAAGTTCTCGGAGGGTCGATCTATAATCCGGCTTTGTACGCATCTGTGTTCCGTCACAACTTTCAGCCATATTATCATCCTCCTGTGAGTGGCAGCAGCTCTTTGTCCCCCTCTTTTTCCATACAATGCCTCTCTTTCCTCGTCTAGAAATGGCAGCTAGGTAGGTGCTCTGCTTTTTTTGTGCCCCTGATGGTGGGGGAAAGTGTGGGCTGCACTGCCCTACGCTGCAGCGCAGTATGATGGCAACACTGGAGAGGAGGAGCAGGCGAGCCTTCTCCTCCTGACCCCTCCGTGGCCCTGAAAAAAATTAGATGAATCCATCTGCGGTCCGACAGGCCACGGAACAGATATTAAACTAATCAGAACAAGTAGGACACTTGATCTATTTTTAGCCAAAAGGCCGAGAAAAAGGTATGGCAGCTACCTTGGGCGCTCTTTGCCAGGCAAATGAAGGTGCTACTTGCTGCTGGGTAAAAATTTGCTGAAGGAGGAGATGTCCACGAGAGAGGTCTGCCCTCAATAAAGCACTGACTGCAGCGGGTTCTTATCATATTTTTATTTGGTCCCACCTTCCCCCCCGGCTCTCTGTTGTGTGCCCATAGCGGGCAGCTATGCCAAAGGGACAGGGCCTCATTGGAGCTGTGGAATTCTACGTCCCTGACTTCAACAACAGATTTATTTGCGTGCTTACAGATCACCCAGGATTCTTATTTTATTCTCTGCTCATCTGGTTGTATCTGGATTCGAACTTGGGTCTGTCTGTAGTTCAACAGTTCGTGGGTGTACCAACTGAGCTAGGTATTCTACGTCTCTCACATGTGGAATTTTACGTCTCTGACTTCAACAGATTTGTTTGCTGTGGAATTCTACGACTCTGAAGCAACAGATTTATTTTTATTTGCCTGCTTACAGATCGTCGGCATTCTGCACTTTGTCTGTGTGAAGAATGCATTATTAATTTATTATAATATTAATTTATTATTATTATTATTATTATTATTATTATTATTATTATTATTATTATTTTCCCGACCCGTGTGAGATGGAGGCCTCTTTATTGACATTTTGCAATGGACTTCGTAAAGTCTCCGGGGAATGACCGTGGGTCAAATAAAGAGGCCTTGAGTACTGGTGGACCCTTCCTTCAGGATGTACGGGCCTGCCTGCTCCTGGTTAATAAAGACGCCTTCCGGGAATGACCTAACGTCTTCAACCACCAGTACTTGAGCAGGGTGCGCCCGGGAACCCACCGGCCTTTTTTCAGGATGTACGGGCCTGCCTGCTCCTGATTGATTCAAATGCATTCAGAGGCCCAGAGAGGACGAAGGGAAGGGTCCCCCAAGCACTGGTGACTTCAGCCGATGGGCTGGTGTTGCTGATGCCTGGAAAACAGGACATATATGATCATATGTTGGGCGCCGTGGGGTATCGATCCACATGCCTGCAGAAGACTTCGGGCCAGGTTTCTGCAGGTGGTACCAGTTCGACCAGCCGGCTTCTGGGGTGGGTGTATAGATTCAATCAACGAGAAGCGTTTGACATTATAATAGGCTAGTAGCACGGCGCTAGGTCGTTAGGCAAAAGCTATGTTGTTGTTGTCATCGTCCAGTGCAGTCTGTAGTTTTTCCGTTTGTTTGTCTGTGTGGTCATCGTGTCATTCATGTGCCGAGTCAGTTGCAAGGTTGGCACACTCCTGAAGTTTCGAATGGCGCATCTGCGCAATACCATGCTCTGTTGATGATTGCAGATGGTTGATGGCTGGGTTGTGACCAAGTTTTAGCGTGTGCTTGCTTTATGGCTGATGGAGTTGAAATCTTTCGTTTTTCTAATAATGAAAGAAAAAAGGAGGGAAAAGCTTTGGTTAAAAAACAAAAAAGAAGTCCAACTACAAGCTTCTTCTTAAACCACCAGAACACGGGGCGTAGAGGCACCGCTCCACTGCGCGCCAAGCTTTGCCAAATTGCCAGTGGCTCACAGCTTTTCTTTTTTGGCTCGTGCTGCCAGGCTGCCAGCCATTGCGGTCCGGCAGGCCCAAGGCGGGAAATTTTCGGAGTAGGCGATGAAACTTTTTCAGCAAGTCTGGGGCCATGTACTGATGGCTTGACTGCAACGACTCGCAAATGCTGAGGGGATCTCTATGTGACCATCATAACAGAGGTACTAGAGCAGGTGCCAGTCATCAGTGATTGGATGCATCAAATCCACAACGGTCTTCACCCGAATAGAACACCCGGTCATTATAACCGTCTTTGGGGCAACTTTCAGTCTAGATACAGCGATAATGACTGGGCGTTCTGTTCGGGTGAAGACGGTAGTGTGGTGCATCATCTTTTATATTTGTGCGGTGCCAGAAGAGTGTCATATCAGCACCATCTCAGTGTGTTTTTTTCCTTCTTCTTTGTATTTTTTCTTATCAGTGTTATGTCAAGGCAAAGCTCCAATTTAAGGGATTTGTTGCGTGGTTCTCCTGTCACTGTGAGTAAAATGCAGTAGGAGGTTGGTGAACCCATAGTGAGGTGGAGAAAAATAGGTGGTTGGGGTGAGGTGGTGAGAGCGGGGGTGTATTTGCAAGAGTCAGCCACTATGCAGAGACAGGCACAATGGAGGAAGCTAGCCGAGCAACAAGAAGTGTTTTGGTAGAGGAAAGGAGATGGTGCTGACAAATGAAGAATTGGAGAAGACGAAGGCCAAAGATTGAAGCGAAGAGGAAAGCAGTTATGAAGAGGAAGAGAGAAAGAAGGCTGCAGAGTGCAGAGGACTCTAATAAAGTCCCACAAGAGAGCACCGCCACAACCGATATTAACCTCCAGTGTTTGGCTGTGCTGCTTTGCCCGCACAAGCGGAAGAGAGGTCACCGTTGTCAGCGCGAATACCCTTACAAGGGTATCCGCCCTGTTTTTTGCAAGCGACAGAAAATAAGTTTGGTTTAAGGTTTCAAGTATACCGCGCGAGGGCGTGGCAGTGTCTGTGTTTTACGTTGACTAAACGGTTGATTAGAGTAGGGAGTGTGTGGGCGCGCAGACTTGAGGCGCGCGTGATCCTTGTTGATGATTGAAGAGCTGGCGTGATTGCCGGCCAGATGTTATTTCTGATTAAAGTAGGATTCGAAAGATTTTGTCTCGTTGATTGATGCGCTTGCCTGTGATCTGTGCGTACGTGCAGAAGACGGGACCGACAGCAATGCGACTTCGAAACGTTTTAGTAGGTCCGCGCGTTGCGCGCTACTCGCTTATGTAGGGGCCTGTTAATACTAGGCCCAGCCTTGGGCCTAGCATTATTGGTTAAAGCATCAGACTGTCATCTGAGATATTCAAAGATCGAGTTCGAGCGGCGACGACGAGGGGATATCAGAGTAGCGAGGAGACCGAGCGATTGAGGGTCCGACAGGGCTATTCCCCTTGGTTTTGCCGTACACGGCGTCAGAACGGTGTTAGCATTTTCTTCTTCCCTGTTCGTCATATTCTGACGACTAAAAGTCCTAAATATTTTTAGTTACTGTCGTGTTATTGTTTTGTTCCGGCGTTCTTTGACTCAGACGCGGCGTCAGACTTAGAGACAGCCACGGCGGTCAAGGACCTCGAGCACGCGGCTCCATTGGTTGACCTACGAGTTCGTGTGTGTTCGGGATGCCGACGAAATTTCTCGGGTCCGCCTAACTTAAAAGACGGACCGAAGATGTCAATGCATGAATAGGATAGTGGTGGGGTCCATGGTCGTGGTTTCCCGCGCTTCTCAGTTGGAGGGCGCCGACAGTCTGAAAGTGGAAGGGGATTGGAGAAACATTCCGAGCGGGCCTGTGCGACTGCAGCCAGGGGGCCGCAGGGCAGGGCGCCACGACCAGTCCTATGGAGCCCCCCCCTCTCCCTTCATACTCGGCCTTCGGAGCTCCTTCGAATTTTGGCTACCGTCACCAAGACCTGGAAGGGAACCCGCCTCACCGGACTATGCGACAGGCTACGCACCAGACCTGCTGGCCTCTTGCTATCGCTGCGACGGGACTGTTACGCTGCCAGAATATGGGTTGTGCCCCCTGGTAACCAGCCTCTGACGGGCTGACTGAATCCGCATGCAGAGTTGAAAAACACTCCTTAGCGGATTTCGACTGTCATAACCGTTGTCCTGCGGAGTCAATTGGCTGCCTCCGCGGCTCCCTCTCGAATGGTGTCGGGCAGTCTTCATCAAGTTGATGCGGGGCCAACCTCCATTGAGCGCAGTGGGCAGCGGTAAGGGCAGGAAAGCGACAGGCAGCGGGGCCGAACGGGCAGCGCTGCGCAGCACAACATCGAAGAGCGACGGGTAGCAGCAGAGAAGAAGTCGGAGGAGGGACCAACAGGGGGGATGAATCAAGGCGCTTTTTCGCGCCGGATTCACTCGCAGAAAGGAGCTATGGAGTAAGAGGCAGAGGGAGTGATGTAGAGGGAAGCATACAACTTGAGCGATTCTTGATGGAATCAGCCGACTGGAGGTCGGATTTCGGGATTTTCGAGGACGGCAACCTCGAATCTGGCATTAGATTAGTATGAGATCTAGTAAATTGAAAGTTAGCAAGAGAGATTAGTGCGTGGAGAGCTTCGGGAGAGAGAGATAACGGAAGGGAAAAAGCTTGTATCTCGCTTGTACTCGATGGATTCAGGTGAGATAGGATGCGAACTGGGGGTTCTTGATAGTTGCGAGTTAGACTATGAAGTTAGTTTTAGGAGAAAGTTAGTAGAGATAGAGGTAAGAGAGAAAGGGGGCGCGATGGGGTGCACCAACCAACAGGTAAGTCTCCAACCCCACTCCCCGCCTGCCGCAACTTCCATAGCAGCAATGAACAAAAATCAAATGAATCTCCCGCCAAAAACAGACCAGGTACACTGTCATATTCATGCAAAATTGAAGCTTCTCCTTCACGCGGCCCGCTTCTCTCTCAGCACCATGCCTGCCACTCTAATTCTAATTGCGCTTGCTCCATTCAATTCGCAATGCTCGAAAATCCTAGTTTAACACCTCGCCCCGCTCGATCTCGTCGAGAATCGAGCAGGGGATCGCCTTTTCATAATCCTACCATAGTCGGCTCCCGCCATCTTCGAGAGAAGGTTAAC